CCTGTTAACGCGAAGGCTGGACTTGAACCGCTGAAGCATTGACCATTTCTGGCCGGCAACTTTCAGCGTCATTAAGCCCCTGCGCCAGCGCGTCCCCTTATTTGTAAATTATTCAGATATAAAAAGCTCCAGGTCCAGGTTGGAATTTTCACCCCTGATTTACATAAGCTTTTTTTTTTCAATAACAGTTTTGTTGATTCTAATTGGTTTTAAGCATTTGATATGTTATCTGGCTGAAATTATTGAAAGGCTGGTTCAGAATAGTTGTAGGAAAGAGTTGTTATGGTGTAGAGTAAAATTGGGAGCCATATGATAGAAAGATGAATGGGAAAAAGTTTGGCAAGAGCATCCTGCTTAACACACACTGTCCTGGTTCCATATTTGGGAACTGTTTTGATATCCCTGCACACGGTAACATCTTTATTCAATTTAGTAAATTGAATATCAATTAACATAAGAAACAGAAATGTTTTGCAGAGTACAGGAAAGTAAACAAAAAGGACATCTGTTCCAAAACAGTAAACCCCTGAAGTTGGAAAATATATTCTGAAACCAGGGAACCAGCAACAGGCATTTGTACAATTGTTAAAACCCCACCCAACCCAACCCAACCCAACCCCTCCAATCTGCTGCCCTCCACTGTTGGGCTACAGCAGTCCTCACTTGAGCAGCAGCAGATGGAAAGAGACAGGGCTTTTGAGCTATGAGCTTAGGGCCATGCATTTCGCAATGAGCCACTCCAAAAACTAGTAGATATCCCTGCCTGTTTCACGATGGAAGGTGATTTCATGGCTTCTGTGTTTAAGGGAAGAGAAGTTCTATGAGACAAGCTGTCACCACATAATTTAATGATACACAGAAGGAATAGATAATTAAATACCTTATTAATGCTATTATCCATTACTGTGGATCTGTATGTTGCCCACAAATCTTATAATTATTCTCAGAAAGCAGTTCCCCCTAATTTGAACTATGATTATCTTACGCTCTTGAGCAACCAGGTTTTTTTTCATAAAATTCCCCACGGCAGAATAACTTTTAATTAACCCTTGCTTGCATTCATATCAACCTGGACATTTTAGCAGTGCTTTAGATCACTCAAATCAATGAGATTAGACTGTGTATGATTCTTAAAAGAGCATATATTCACAAATATTCACATACTCATAATTTGTGCAGTTTCGCTCTATGAATAATCACAGTGCAGGTTTTTGATAGCAAAAGCAAAAGAAACCAACACAAAAGAACAAATATTCAACAAAAATTGAATGGCAACCATAATTAATATTAAGTATATTCAAGTATATTCAAATTTGACCAGTAGATAGATGATAATGAAAGGCAAAATCTACTAATCTTGATTCAACAGGGATAAATATTTATGACACTTTTTGGAAAATTCTTATAAAAATCCAAGGGGAGGCCCTGCATTGTCACCAGCCTTGCTTTCTGCCAGATTTTCTTTTCATTGCCCCTTTCCTCTGCATATAACTTGAATTCAGATGGAGAAAGGTATAAAATGGTATGTACGGTGATTTGCAGAACTGAAAGGCTCTCCCGAGTTTCATCTTTCTGCATACACAAATAATACAAATCCAAGGAATATTTTACAGTATAAAGTTTTGCTGCTGAGTAAGAGCAGGTGCACTTCCAAACACTGGAACAGCAAAACAGGCATTTAGTGTGCTCAGAAATCTTCATTAAAAACCAGCTGTGTTCACATGATACAAAGGGCATCCACAGCGGAGAAGAGAAGAAGGGATGTCACATGCATCATAACATAATTGAAGAAACAATGTGAATTTTATCATTTCTATCATTGTGGCTTCTTATAGATACCTATGCATGAGACACTAACGATTAATTACAGTGAAAGTACTCAGCCACTGAAGGTGATTCAGACAACATATGAAACTTTGGCTGACTTCAGATTTAATAATCCCCCACTTTTAAGGTATTATTCCAAAAACCGTTGTGCTGGTCAATATTTCCTGTTGAATTGCAAATAACACAAACAAATCTGGAGTGACCTGATCTTCACACAGGACCATAGGTAAAGGTAGCTTACAAGAAGTCATGATTGAACACCGTGGTTAAATTACATCCCATTTGTTTCCCAAATGCACACTGGTGGGGAAGTGAAAAACAAGCAGCAGCAGAGACATATGCCTCAAATAGTTCCATTCTGCAGCTGCTCCAGCTTCCTATCTCTGTGGGTAGAGCCAGAAAGCAAGATTAACCTCAGATTAACCCTCTCATTTAAGGCCAGATAAAATGAGGATTAATGTAAATAACATCAGCGTGAGTAAACCTTTTACTTACTTTTTACAAGCCTTGATTCCAATTGCAATTAAATTACTCCATGGTAACCATTATTTGGCCTATAGTTCAAGTTCAGATGATGTGGGCCTAATAATAAGTTGATTTAAGCTGTCATGTGAATATGGTCATCTTGATGCTGTTTTATCTCATTCACTTAGTAGCATAATTTAGTAAATTTGTGGAAATGTAGTAAAGATGGGACATGGAGAAAAATAAGCTGGTAGACAAGAGGACTGACACTGAGCCATTAAAAGCCTGGCTCATAGTAGCTCAGAAAGCTCTCCTCCTCCTGTACTAATTTGTGAACTAGGCAGCCTTATACAAGATATTCACAGGGAAGTCAGTGATTTAAACATAATTTTTCCTAGTCAGTATGCATAGGATTTAGCCTTAAACATACTGTAGTCCGAGCCTCCCATTTGTAACGTAAAGATAAGGCTTTATGCAGTTATTGTTTTTTCTTAGAATAGAGTTAAAATGAATGAAACAGTATATTATGTATGAACACTCGATGAACATTAACTATTATTCATATCCACTATCATTGATATTATGAAATTAGGAGTGGATTGTGTGTGTGTGTGTTTTTTTAAGCTATTATGGTGGCTCTTGGCCATGCTTCAAAGGCCAGAACTTTTTTGTGTCTTATAACTAAACATTAATTATTGATCCAGCTAGTATATGCTATGATGATAAATTGTTACAGTATTTTTTCCATCATGTTAATCAGGATTGCAACTCCATATCCCACCCCCCATCTGAAACTTAATGATTGCCATTTGCAGGCTCTCAGAATCCAGGTCATTAAAATGTATTTTTTGTTTGCAATTAGAATGGGCCCATAATATCCCAGAAAAATAAATTAAAAATAAATCAAGCCTTTCAAAGATATCCCCCCAAACCGTCATAAGAACAAAAAGTGTGAATAGCGCACACTTATCACTGTGCAGTGCCAAGCCTCAAATTTTAAAAGCTTGCCAGAGTAGTGTTTGCCATATTCTAATATTCATTTCAGAGATTTCCAAAATCAGAAGGTGCAAATCCAATCATTTAACCAGAAACTTCTGTCTAAGTTACTTTAGGACTGAAACAGATTCACATAGTATTTTCTAGAGCTTTGAGGAAAGCTTGCTTGCATATGTATAACTCATTACATGTCTCTGAGGAATGTTAACATCTAAAAGGTGCCAGTGACAGCTGTTTCTGTACCTTTGATTGGCAACATAACGTGCATGCATAGTAGACAATATGAAAATTTTGCCTGTGACTTAAATTAGTGATGGTCTGTTGATAAACCAACCACTTCCTAATCCTGCCGTCTTTGAGCAATAGATATGACCGCTCACTAGCTAAAGTCTAAATCGGCAGGTTCACATATTAAGAAAACTATAAATTGCTTTATTAATTATATAAAATAAATATTAATATTTTAAAAGAAAAAAGTCATGGACCACAGGCTGAGCCATTAAAAAATCCCTGGGACTTGTTTATTTTAAGTGAAAAATTAACAAGCTTCACCAACACGGTTTTCTTAATCTATTCTCTCCCTAGTGACAATGTCCCTATCTATATCACTGGAAAAAATAAATCAAATATAGATATGCTTGACTGTTTCTCAGTCTTTCTATGGATCATTTGGATAAACTTCATCAATCATCAGAGATACGGGCACCATAGTTTGAGCATCCCTTACTTAAATTGTCCCAGATACACCATGGATGCATTAGTAGAGTTTAGTGGGAACAAACCAGTCCTATTAAATACTGTTATGTAAGAGTTGTAGATGAAAACTACATGCATACATATGTGTGTGCATGCATACACACATACAGATCAGCTGAAATTGCTCCAGTTTTTATACTAGAGTCAGTTTAAGGAGAAAGTAGGAGTAAATTTCTAAATCAGAAATTAAAACGTATGCAATACCATTGACTTGCAAAGAGGCTAATAACAATAGATGCTATCTTAAATGAACAATGAATTAATATCCATGCAATACTGTTGACGATGCCTAACACAAAGGCAGATAAGATGGTGCCTCTGGACACTCGTCTGCCAGCAGATATTTCCCCTGGTGCCAAGCAGGCTTCTAGCTTCACTACTTTTTCTCCGCAAGATTATTCCAATAAAAAAAAAAGGGGGGGGGAGAGCCAGCCTGACATCATTTTGACATGCAGCTTAAATGCACAATTAGTGGTTGCCCCAACAACTCTTTTGCAACTCCATATTTATTGGGTTTAGTATCCCCCTCACCCCACCCTTTTTTTTCCAGAGAATTAACCTTAAGCGTCAGCAAGGCTATTTGTACTTATTCCATTCTATTAACCCACTGGGCTTAAGGTTAAGCCACCTTCTAGCCAAAGAAATAAAACTTACATCATGTTTGTTTGGCCCTGCCTATTCCAGTTACATCATGAATTCTCTATGACTTTGGGAAGCCAAATAATTGTTTTAAAATAACATGTTGGCATCAGCCACTAGATTTACAAGAATGCTTCTTGCCCGGTAGAGATTTCACAGTCTTCTCAGAATATTAAAAGTGGTTGGTTGCTGTAGCTTGTTGTTTCCTGTGAGAGTCCCAGAAAATCAGAGGGCTTTAGAGAATGCTAGGAGCGAGGCAAGAAGCGATAGTAGGAAGTAGTCTAACTTTTGGCCTTCTGATAAGTAGGGTTTAGCTCCTCACAAGTCATACATTTTGTGAAAGGAGCTACAACATGCCCTCAAACTTCCAAACCAAAGCCAATATCTAGCTGTGGCCTAATTAGTTAAGGATTCGTTTCCTGCAACTTTCCAAACTGGATTGAGGGGGCAGAGGAAATCATTCATCAGCAATAATTGAGATATGAACATTGTTACTTGTCCAAGTGCTTTAACCCAAGCATTAATCAATTCAAGGTCAGATTCCAATTATCATATTAGCAAAATGACTAGAGAATTAATTTTCTCTCTTAAGACAAAAATCTAATAAAGTCTGAAGACTAAGTGGCTTGCAGTAATAACAGATTTAGAGCATATTTCCTTGGAAGGTATTACATCCTTGAGTTATAGGAGGTATAAGTACAGTAAAGATATTAACGGAAATAGTGTTAACTGTTTGCTTTTTAATGGGGCCTCAGCTCCAGTTTACTGATAGGTAATATTGTTGGAATCTATATCAGAGCCTCCACATTCCAGAGTCATCTGTGAGAAGCTCTTCTCCAAGTTGATCCAGATGTAATGGTAAGCCATCATGTAGCTTAGTTGCTCTTCGTTTGCGTGACATACCATCCTGTTCCAAGAAACAATCCATTGTTTGTTTGGCCACAAACTTCAATTTGAAATGATAGTTTTAAACCAATTTGTGAATCCTAGCATATATTAACTATGACACAACTGTATCTAAATCCATAAGCCTACCTTATTCTGGGTTTGTTATACTCTGCTCATTTTTTTCTGGGTTTTGATGAAAGAAATGGAGAAAACAAACTAGGACTTGGCTGAACAAGCCACAATTACTTTCCTCCTCTGCAATATTGACCCTGACCTGTGCTTACTTTGCTCAAACCGTGGTTAGAACAAACCCTAGTTTATGTGCAAATGCAGCCTCAATGCAAAATAACAGAGAGACCTTTCTGGGTGTGGAACCACAGCTATTAAAAACTCTCCCTGGAAGTTTGAGTTGTGCCAATATTTTCTTATCAGCTTGAAACCTTAAAACCCAAGCATTTTAATTGCCTGATCTTAATTGTACTGATATATTTGATAACTTTGTTTTTATGTTAACAGATTTTTATTAAATAGTATATAATACTGATTACACCTATATATTGCCTTGATTTTTGTTGTTTAAAGTTTTATAATATTTTAATTGAAAAAGAAAGAAGTTCACAAGATTGCACTATTAGCAATGGAGATATTTGGTGATGGTGATAATGATTATAACAACATTTTTTAAAAAAGTTTACTGAGAATAACCAAATGCAACATGAACATTTTCTATTTTCTTAATGCCCCCAAGATGTTACAAACCAATTCATCATGACAGAACAGGAGCAATTTCTATGGAGTTTATCCGGAGAACAGTTTGCGGCTGAGTGACGACTGAAAAATAATGAGAAAATTCACTTCAGGACTTGGCTTTATAAGTGAATTACTTTATAAGTTGCCACAAAGAGCTAAATAATTCCATGACTGATCGCAGAAAAGCATTCATTCCACAGAATATACATCTTAAAAGTTGCTTGTCTGTGGCACTGAGAAACAAATCATCACTTAAGAAATTGCTTTGTTATCATATTATCAAAACTTGTTGAAATATAGTTTCACCTTATTAACATGTATGGATTCACATGCAAGATTCAGAGCTGTTGGAAAAGAACTGCCTTGCTTTCATGCAGTAAAATCTAAATCAGATATAATTAAGAGGCAATGTGCTAAAAGCCCAACAAGCTAACAGCACCTATGCAACCTTGGCTGATCTCAGATATCTAAGCAGGATTAAACTTAATTTTTGGATAGGAGACCACTAGGAAATCAAAGGACTACAGCCTCAATGAAACAAAAATCCTGGAAGGGGGCAACAGCAAACTACATTTGCCTTGTTGCCAAAACATAGACTCAAATGACATTTTATCTTTTTAAAATGGCAAAAAGAAAGGGAGCCACTTGTGTTGCAGTTCTTGAAACTCAATTCCAATCATTTTTTTCCTCCACACACCCAAGCCCTTCAATCATTTCAGGAAATATTCTGCATAGTAGGGGTTTAGATTAAAAATTTTATGTATGTTTTTCATCTTACTTCTTCTCTTCTCGTAATTCTTTCGTCGACGGAACTTCACGTTAAACCTTGGCCAGGATTCAGTCTTTTCTATAACAGTGGCCTCCACACAGACTAGGTCTTTTCTTTATAACAAATTGAGAGAGAGAAAAAAAACCCTGCTTACATTCACTCCTAATAAATAGATACTTCCTTTGAAAAATTAAGCAATAACAATAGAAACATTTCTATAGTTTATTTATTTACTGCATACTCCAATTTTCTCAGAGAATTCTCTGAAGGTAGCTTACAAAACAAACAGTAACACAAAGCAGATATAGAAATAATATCAAAGAAATAATTATACTAGAAAACAGACGGCTACAATCTTCTTCAACAACATTTTGAGATGTAAATTTATGGTTTTAGAAGGGAACTGATTTCTCCAGGAAGTTAAAACAAAATGGGCTATTGCTGGTCTATAAAGGAATGTTTCCGAATAAGCAGGAAATGTGATGAATTAGACTGTGTTCAACATACCAAGGCGACAGACACCACATATTTTTAATGAGCTTTTTAAAGCAAAATCCTAAAATGAAGAGTCCTCCTTCTTTTGTTTCCTACTTGCAAAACTGAAATGATGTGTATATATCAATCCACAATGGCTTTTGCTTTCAATGGTTCTTTGAGTTTTACATCAGAATTTGAAAGAAACAGAAAAATAAAAATCATGAGACTTAATTCTCCCTGGCGATGAGAATTTGTAGTCTTTTTACAGACAGTTGGTTTTGGTAAGAAATCCCCAGATCTTCGAGCTGATTGTTCCTTCTTTTCCCTCCCTCTTGGCCTCCCACTGCAACTCTCTACTATTTTGACTTGCTTTTCTTAGGAGGGTCTAAATACAATGGAGTTACTACAGCAATTCCCTTCTTTTCTGCACGCATCCTTCCCTCAGCTGTTGTTGAGTGGTTGGTAGGCATCCTTTCCTAAAGCCTTTTGGACGCTTTTTCAGCCCACTGCACATGACTCTGAAAAGATTCAGCATGACTGAATGACCCCAAAGTACGCCTTACCCCAGGAGCGGCTTTCCCAGCAGCGTGAAGTTATCAGCCCCCACCAAAAGTACCTGGGGCAAGAGCAAATAATGCATGTTAATCATCAGATTACAGAATATGTCAGAACGTTACCAAGGCACTTGTGGAAAATGCACCTTAAATCTGCAGTTTGGTTTTCTTGCCAGGATGAAATAGGGGATTGCCACATAAATACCACTTTTGGCAAAAACTGTGTTATTTTCCCCACATCTCTGGAACATTCAAGAGAAGACAGTGAGAGGTGGCAGACGTCACTGTTCTCATGCATGATGTGATTTCTTTCAGTGCTGAAGCAATTACCACACATTTTGCAAAGAAAGACGAAAATCACCCCACTGGACACCTGTTTGTTCCTGGGGTTCTGAGCAGCTCTCAGAGAAACAGTACAGATAGCACCCCAATGAAATCAGCATGAATATTAGGCATTTTCTGCTCTCCAGATACACTGGGGCTTGGCACTTCCAGAATTCCTAGCCATTTACCATGCTGTCTGAGAATTCTGGGAATCATAATCCCAACAGATCAGGAGGGTGCCAAGTTGTGAAATGCTGGTGCAAGGCCTTTTTGTTCATTTCACTAACTAGCCAGCAAAATTTCACACTCCCAGGTGTTACTTTCTTGCAAGATTTCCTTTTATTTCACACCAAGTTATGACACCAAGTTAAACAGAGCATAAATATCCAGGGATGCTTCTTCAAAATAAAAATTAAGGGAACAGATTAGAGAAAAACTTCTTTCCACTGCTAAATTATTCCAAATTGTAATATTTCATCAGAATACATAAGACAATTAATACTGTTCAACTCAGTGGCATCTTATTTTATGTGAATCTTCAATTATCCAGGCTGTTTTATTGTTAAGTAGATTAGTTTGGGCACTGAACCATGCACCAGAATTATGTTTACAAATCGGAGCAGATGTACTGTATATGGTAATGTATAATTAAAACATGTCTGGATAGCAACAGAATAAATCACTTTAAAAAGATCTTGGCATACTCCATCTTGCTGGAATGCTTGGAAGTCCTGTCTGAGAGACTGACAGTGACTAGTTTGGTTTGAATTAGGCAAATAATAACTTTGAGATTTTAGCCCCTCCAAAACATGGCTGGGGTTGATGTGAGGTGTTCTCCAAAGTATATGGAGGGCACCAGGTTTGAGCAGCTTACCCAAATCAAAGTTGGTATGTTTTTTAGTGGCACAAGGATATGGAGAAATCAATTGAAAAAGTGAAATACCCACATAAGCTATTGCAGAGAAGTAACTTATTCAAAGTATATTTTCCTCTAAGCCCAAGAATATAATTTGATGGAGAAAGCCAGAATGCCATGGGACATGTACTCCTGTGGGAGATGCTAACAGGTAGCAAATGACATGGTGAGAGGGAGGCAGCCCTGTATGTGTTACACTGATTTAATAATACATTCATAGTACAGTAACCTTTCTGATTAACATAGGGAGAAAAAGCCATTGCTAGCACAAAGCTTACCTTTTCCATTCTGATTCTGTCTCCACATTCAGCAGGTATGTGGTTTTCAATTAAAATCAAATCTTCACTGGTTACTTTCCACTGTCTGCTAGCAAAGTGAACAACTGCGAACAGTCTTCCATATTGTCCAGTGGCAATTAACTCATTCACTTTTTGTACAACCTCTGGATGAAAATTGTGAGTAATTAAACTTATTAGATTTACGTCTCACATTTTATTCAGGAGCTCAAGATGAGGTCTACTGTTCCTTCTTCTGATTTTTTTTCCCCCCTGCAACAACCTTTAAGATAGGTTGGGCTGAGAGAGTGATTGACCAAGGTCACCCAATGAGCTTTTGTGGCTGAAGATGGAATAGAACCTGGGTCTCCCCATTCCTAGTCTGGGAGCATTTTAAATAGTATAACACCATGGCTCTCTAAATGCAATATATGTATGGAGATGAGTGTGGAAGAATAGTGGCTTTGAATTAATAGCCCTGTCACAGCATCCACAGTGCTGTGTTTCTTAGGATCTAAAAGAACTAATCCTAAAGCAAACTCTGGGAATGCACAGTGCTTCAGGTCCAGAACCAGAAAAAAGTACTGCACAGTAGGCAGGGTCACAGACACCTCAACTTGTGAACATCTCACAAAAGCTGCACCTTTTCTTGGGCTTGCAAGGTCTTGAAAAATACACATGAAGGAGCATGAAGGTGTGGCATGGTGCTTTGCTCCCTGAACTCAAAACCTGTAATTTCCTGGGGTTGCGTGTCCACTGTTCAAGTCCAGCAAAAAGACATAGCTTCATTCACATGTCCTTGGATGGGTCACGGTAGAAATGAGGCCTTTCCCCCTGGGATCGTAAAACATAAAACAGGGTTGGCTCTCTAAGGAGGCAGCACTGAGTATATAGTGGCCTGCTAATGGTGATTGCATTGGCTAAGAGGGCACACTGTGGGTGACACATATCTCAATACCTAGAGGAAAAATCTAGCCACCTTCTGTATGAAACACCTGAAGATAACTTCACTAACACTACTGTTGCTTATTGTGTTTCTTGTTCTATTATTCTAGACAACTGATTATGCATGTCTTTATTAAATCAAAAGCAGAAACAAAAGGGAGGCAGTGACAATATTAAAATGAAACAAACAGAAGAATCATACCCTTAGTTTTTTGAGTGGGTACAGATTATTTACCTCTGTGGTGTACTGCCTCTTCTGCTGGATCAGGTAGCTTGATTTCAGGCCATGGAGGTGATGACAAGGATGTTTTTGGAATCAGTCTGTGAAATAACAAGAATCTGCTATTATAAATGTTACAGTCAAGCAGTCCAGTTGATAATAAAGGGTACTTCCATTATTGTCCTTAAAAAAACAAAGGTGGAGCCAAAACATCTTGCCCACCTCCTGGATTACACTCCTCAAGTTCAATTTTTTTTTAAAAAAAAAAGGTATGGCCCTCAAGCCAAGAAAGTTTCACACCTCCCAGCTAATTCAACAAGCCTCACATACAGAAGCATGAATCATAAAGCATGATTATGAGAGAAGCAGAATCAGAAGAATGAATTAACCCGTTCCAGAATTGTGATGGAACGTATCTACGAGGAGAGTGATGTGGGAGATCAAGGCTATCAGGAAGGAGGGGGTGCATTCCAGGAGGGAAAAGGAGGCAAAAGGCAGGATAGTCACTCACTAGAATCTCCCAGGGTATATCCACTAGTTGCTGTAGTATAGATTTAGTCTGGCAAGATTC